AGGCCAACAGTAGGGAAGATTCTTTTTTCTTTTGTGGGTTTTTTTTTTTTCTTTTTTGGAGACAAGGTTTCACTATATAATCCAGGCTGGCTTCAAACTTGCAGTGATCCACCTTGCCTCAGCCTCTCGAGTGTTGGGATGACAGCTGTGCACCACCATTCCTGGGGGTGAAGCTTCTTGGGGCCCACATCTCACCCTCTGAGGAAAGCTCAGGTCCCTTTGGTCCCCAACCTCAGACTTCTAGATGGCAGCCTGCTGGGCACCCTCACATCTGCAGTGTCCCGTGTGCCCTCTGCTGTGTCCATTGCCCAGCCCCTCCTGGCTCTTTCATGTTTCCGTCTCTTTCTTCCTCCTCCATTCTCCCCCATTTGGATATTTTCTCAGAGGACAGAATTCTCACCACCAGCCAGCCTCCCTGTCCCATTCAACAAACCTCTCACTTGTTCTTGATCTTTCCGGGAGAAAAATTAAAACAAAGGGCTGAAGCTGCAACCTGCACTGGGAATGGGAAAGGCCAGGCTGGCTGAGATGACTGTGGGTCCCTTATCTCCTCTTAGGTGGCCCTACGGCATCAGCCTGTTCCTTTACTCCCTGTCTGAAGATCGAAATATCTCACCACAGAGGCACCCTGGACTCCATGCTGGATGGCTGGGTGGACATCTTCCGGGCTGAGCAGCTTTGGACAAATTCCGGAACCTCTCTGTGCTTCTGTTTTCACATGGGTAAAATGGGGTGTTTTGGGGTGCAAACAAGCACTGAGCACAGGACCTGCTCTACGTAAGTGTTAGTAACTATGATCTTCAGGAGAGGACCCCTAACATTGCTGACAGCTCAAACCTGTCCATTAAAAAAAGTCAGCATACCCCTGTATAGACTGATCCAAATTCCTTTGTAGATTACATGCGTGCAGCTCTGGGCTAACATATGCTATGTGTTAGGAAATATATAACATAGAAATGTTCAAAGGATGAGATAAAGAAGGAAAAACAAGGAGAAATTTGAAGACTTCTCCCCCTGTCCCAGGGGCTCCTTGCATGCCCCACTGGGGCTGGGCACCATCGTTTGGGAGCTCCTAGGTGGACATAGCCAGAAGTTGTGGCAAAGCTCCCCCAACCCCCAGGCTGCTGGGCTAGGAGGGACTGGGAGCTGGCGGTGCTAATGTAGGTGATTAAATCACTCCCGATGATCCATTTGGAGTGGCAGCCGTGTTTAACACGTGGCGTGGCAGCTGCTCCACAAATAGCAAGGTGGCCAGGGAGGCAGTGGGTGGGCCGTGCCCTGAGGGCAAGGAGACCTCCTTGGCTGTCCACTCTTTTCTCACTACAGGTAACCTGCTGGGCTCTGTGCCTTTCTTCCTCCTCCTCCTCCTCCTCTTCCCTTCCCACCAACTCCTCCTCCAGGAAGCCCTCAAAGATGGCTCTTCTCTCCTTCATCTCCCCTTGCCCCAGGGCTCTGAGACAGCCACCTCCCCCAGGGTGAACCAGTCAGTCACACAGTGACAGTCACATACGTCCAGCCAGCCAGTGGGATCCTGCTCTAGGGTTTTTGCTGGAATCACCTGGAAAGAGGTGCCCAAGCTCACCTGGGAGGGTGGAAGCTGAGGATGTCAGGGTCCATCTGTCATAACCAGGGCTGGTGGCACAGAGAAAACTGCGAATTCCTGATGATTTCCATCAGGAAGTCACTTGATCCAACTGTCCCTGAAACCTATGCTTTTATGTGAAATGCATTCCTTCTTTATCTCTTTCTTAGACTGTGTTGAATTGTTTTTCTTTCTTTTCTTTTCTTTATTTAGAGACAGGGTCTTTCTATGTAGCCCAGGCTGGCCTTGACCTCATAGCAATTCTCCTGCCCCAACTTCCCCAGGGCTGGGATCACAGGCATATGCCACACCACACTGGGCAAATTGTTTCTCTTTAATCAAATGCACCTAACTGTCCTGACCAAAACATTTTTGTCCTCCTGTGATGACTGCAATATTCTTCCAGCTGAGTGCTCTTCCTTCCTGCCCCTCAGCCTGCTTTTCCATGCTGTGGCCTCTCAGCCCCGATGACCTGCCCTCTCTCACCACCCTGAGCTCCCTCTGGTTCCTCTCCTTGTCACTCATCCTGTCCTAGCCACTGGGTCTCCTTCCTGCTTCTTACCCAGCACTCTTCCTTGCCCCCAGGCCTCTGCTCCTGAGATCTCCAAGCCTGCAGATGCTTGGAGGGCCCCCATCATGGATCTGGCATCTCAACTCCAAACTTTCCTGACTGGCTGGTGAGAAAGAGCAGCCCTGACCCCTACCCCATTGCTCCCCATGTCCAGAGCTGGCTTTGTTTTCCCATCAGTTAGAGTTGATGCTCAACTTTAACTGTACTTTCCTTTTACCATCTGTCTCCACCTGCTGGATGGGAAGATCCAGAAGGGCAGGCCTTGCTGGGCACCCTCCAGCACCCGGGGTCTAGGACTGAGCCCCCACACTCCCAGCGTTCAGTATGCATCAGTTCAGGGAGGTTCTGCCTGGCTTGAGCCTTAGGAGGGAGGCTAGTTGTTCCTCCTATTCCTCCTCTCCCCGCTTCCTCCCTCTTCCTTCTCTTTGTCCTCTCCTCTTTTTCCTCTTCCTCCTCTGACTTCTCCATCTCCCCTGCTGGCCAGCTACCCCTGCATTGGCCCATCCCTGCCATCCCCTGTCCTAACACCCGTCTGTCCCTGATAGCGGAACATACCTTTAGGGAGGGCTGCGTCTTCCCACCATGCAGCCCTGCCTGACACAGCCTAGGTGCTCAGAGCGAGTCTGTCCAGTAAGGGACCCCACCTGGGGTGGCCTCATCCCAGTGCTCAGGTCAGCTGGGAGCAAGCAGATGGTTCATTTGTTCCCTAATTAGCAGCTTCGCTGTGGACATCCTCAGAAGACACATCTTTCCTAACAGAAACAGGTGGGCGGACCGCAGGCTCTCAGTGGTATCCTGTGCCTTTCCTGGCAGAGGCCAGAGGCACAAAGGTGTTTCACGGAGTGCCCACTGCCAGCTGAAATGCCACTCGCAGACCTAGGGTTTGAAGTGGCAAATGCAGCACCCAGCTCATCTGGGTGCTGAGCTTCCCGTCCTCCCTCAACCCTGACCTGCCCAGATGACCTTTGGCTTCCCACTCTCTGGGCCCAGAGGTAGGGGGGCAGGGGTTGGGGCCCCGGGCGGCCAGCAAGCACATAGCCCCTCTCTTCCTGGAAATGCTGGCGTCTTGACACAGGCAGCCACGTGCAAGGTCTTCCAAGGTCTTACTTGTTGGGGTTGCTGGTGTGGCAGAGCCCACTTACTGCACTTCCTACAGCCATGTGCTCCCCCTTTTTTCTCAGTAATAGAACCTTACATTGCTTCGATGTTGCAAAAATCCCAGCTAAAAGACTACATTTCCCGGGCTTTGGAGATAGAGGTCTCACCAGTGACATTACAGGGTAGTTTTCCAAGCAGAAATTATAGGGGAGATTTGGGAGGAATATCCCTGAAGTAGAAGACAGGCAGGTGATATGTAAGCTTTGTTCACTACTCTCCTCATTTCTGTGTCTTGCCCAGAATATGGGTATAATAGGTGGAGTTGAAGCAGCTCTCTTGGGCCCTGGAAGATGAGAGCTACGTGATATGAATGGTGAGTTCAGACAGGGCCCTCGGAGGACAGCAAGCCTGAAGAGACAGAGGGGACGGGTCACCTGGGGGCAGGGGCTAAGATGACCGTGCTCACCATCATCTATTTCCTGGAGGACAGTGGCCCAAACTCCCCCGTTGGGTCTGGCTGGCAAGACCTGTGCCCAGAGACCGCGGACACCACTTCAAGGTCAGGATACCAGAGGTCCCCAGGCTCCCCGCTCTGCCCCAGTGACCCTGGCCCTGTGGGGCTCTGGGGAGGATGACTTGCCTGGTCCCCATTCCTCACCCATACTGCTGCCTGTGTCGTCACTTGGGAAGTGACGGTGACCTTGGATGCGACCTTCACCTTTACCTTCATGGCCCTCTGCCACAGCTCCTTACCTACGGGTCATCTACTCTTTCGCTTCTCTCACTCAAGGGTCTGGGGCTCTCAGGGAATTCCGAAAGCATGGCATCAAAGGCCAGCTTGTTGGTGCCATTCTTTTTGGCCTCCAGGAGGAGGAATTGGCTTTGTTGCAACCTTGGCCAGCTTGGCTTACAGGCCCTTCTCTTCTGTGCTAACCACCCTGGAAATCTCCCAACCTGTCCTTCTTCCCTCCCCTCGCCCACAGTGACAGAGGTCGGGGGACATAAACAACCCACGGTTTCCAATTAATTTTTAATTGCAACTTGAAATTTTTAATTGCAGCTGCAACGCTATCTCCAGTGGCAGTGTGGGGTAGGGTACAGGTGACCCAGTTAGAGTTGTGGGGCTGGCAGGGCCTGGCGCTGAGGCAGCAGATGGGAGGCCAAAGGGCAGCCTGCTGATTACACAGGGTGCAGGGCACAATGGTTATGCTTTGGGTCTAGGCCTGGGCCTGTCCCCTCAGGGGCCAGGAACCTGGTCTGCTGCATGCCCCCTGGGGAGGACTCCTGGAGCAGCCATTTGTCAGCATCTTGTTATGGCAGGAGAGGGTCTTGTCAGAACAATGCCAAGCTCCACTTGGCCAATTAGAGCCCTGCACTGGAGCAGGGTCTTGAGGTGGCCCCAAGGGAGCTTTCTGGGGCGGTAGGTCCTTGGGGACCTTCATGGGAGATCAGAGGTGTCCCCAGCGAGGTTCAGGCCTTGCAGAGGTGGCACAGGGATTAGCTTCTAGACTGTGCCCAACTGCAAGAGAGAACAAAGGGCACAACTGGAGGTAGGCGACCAATTTTTCTGGGACTGAGGGGTTTCCAGGGACACAGGAGTTCTGGAGGTGGTCACTCAGTCGGATACAATTAGGTCACTTGACGTTACCAGTCCCAGGGACAGAGAAACCCGGCTGAGGCCGCCCTGGTTGGGTGGGGCTCCCTCCTTTCTCTCCTGCCCTGAGGCCTCTCAGTCCTGTCCCTCGGCTGTGCAGACACACAGGAGCCCCAGCCCCACCAATGCCTGGTTATCCCATAGGGAAGAAGGAAACAGTCTGTTCTGGACCTCACTTTCCCTACCTGTCTTTCCTCTAATCCAGGAGTGGCCTTAGTGCTTGTCCTGTGGGGCTCCCAGAGAGTGGGAAGACCCCCCAGCTGTGGTCTTCTGTCCCTTTGCCTGCCCACTCTCGCCCATCCAAGACACATTTGCAAACTTTCTGGTGAAGGCAGCTGGTTCTCCACAGGAGCTGTTACCTGAGAACTGACAGCCATGACAACAAAAGCCTGGCAGCCTCTCTGAGAGTTGGCGGGGCTGAAGGAAAGGTGAGGTGGAGGTTGGAGGGGAGGAAGGGGGAGGTCTGGGCTGTAGGGGCGGGGAAAGCTAGGGAGGACGGGATTTCCTGGGAGTTGGGGGCACCCCCACAGCCAAGTCCTGCTTAGTCACCCAACCCTGGGTCCTGTTTACTCATTCGTTCACGAATTCATTCACTCAACATAGATATAGGGTGCAGCCACCATGTGCATGCCCCATTCTGGGCCCAAGGACTTTCAGGGAGGGGACAGATCAAAGCCAGAACATACATCCCTGGGAGCCCCCCTTCTTCCGGGCTTGTGGAGCCTGGCTGACCCCCAGCCGGGCCTCTCTGCAGATGCCCTTGCCTCCGTTTCATCATGAGCCAGGCCTGGGAGAGGTAGCAGTGACAGGGTTCTGGGGACACCCTGCTAGGCAAACTCTAGAAACACTGCCACCCAAGGGGCCGGGGGGGGGGCTCCCTTTTGTGTCCTGCCTGGGCTGGTTGGAACCTGTGTCTCTTAGGTGGCCTGTCACCAAGCCCAAAGCCAGGTGAGCACCCCAGAGAGGGACCCCCCACCCCGCATTGTCATTTGCTCCCTGCTGGTTCTTTTCCTGGGCTGCGGAGCCGGGCTGCCCCTCCCTCTCTTGGTGTGGTTTTCTTCTCCCCCGCCCCCCCACTCCACTTCCTTGCATCTAAGGACTTGTGTGAGTCATTTTGCTTTGAGCTGCCAGATGTCGGAGGCAGTTGCCTTGGAGTGGAAGACAAATTTTCCCCTCTACTCAAACAAGTCAGGGCTGGTGAGACCCCATCACGGCCGTCCTGGGTGTTCAGGAGGGTGGGGGCAGCTGCTCCTGTGCGTACCACCTCTGCCAAGTTCTGGCTTGTACACCTTCCATTCCCAGGAAGGCAACTTGTCCCCTCGGTGGCATAGGGCCCAGCCAGCCCCACATGGCCCAGGGGCACACAGCTCCTTGCTCAGTGCCCAGGCCCAACTCCACTGCATCCAGGGGGCCCTCAGTGGGTACCTCCTATGTACCCAGCTCCACGCTGGTGCTGCGGGGGAGACAGGAACAAATAAAGAAGGCCCTCTCTTTCAAGGAATCAGCAGTCTGTTCAGGAGAAAAAAATTCATACAAATATTGGTTCACATTTTTCCTCCGGGAATATTCTTCTTCTTCCAGACATGACCTTGTTTAGGTCACCTGGATGCCATCAGACAAGAGAAAGACCATTTGGAGGGTTAAGGTCACCGTGGTGGTGCTGGAGCTGAACCCTGCCCCAAACCTCTGAAACCTCATTGTGTTGTGTTCAAGTTGGAAAAAAAGCAGGACAGCTTCTAGAGGAGGGGCCCACTGTCCTCTCTGTTGCCCTCAGATGTATCTGTGTTGAGCAATTCAAGAGGTGCTGGGCAGGCCAGAGACATTGCATTCGATGGAACATGGACATGGTAGGGCTTCCTGAGTTTGGGTCCCCTTGCTAGCAAAGCCCAAGGCCAGGATAGAAGTAGGTGGTATGTTAGGAAGAGCATTTCAAGAAACCAGTGAGGGAAGCTGGGGCCTGAACCAGGGGAGGAGGAAATGTGACCCAAAAGGGCATAAACAGAGAGGCCCAGCTGGAGGGCCAGCTCTACTCCCCAGATCTCCCAGGACTGTTTGCCTTATATCCCCTCCCCCCCCCCCGTCCCCACATGATCAGGTTTCCGCAGGGGGTGGGTCATGCCTGCTGTCAATCACTGCCCTCCTGGTTTGCACCACCCACCAGCCATGTGGGTGCCCGTGGCATCGGAAGAAAGCACAAAGCCTGCAGCCAGTGCTTGAGATGAAGCTGAGCTTACAAAGCAAGGTCCTTCCTTTTTGCTCCTGGTTGGCCTGGAAGAGGATTTTGCTACAGAGATTAACCATGGGGTTCTGAGCAGCCCAACCCTGAGCACCGCTGCTGCCCCCAGAGGCCCTGCCTTAGTGACCCAGTGAACAAGCTTTACTGCACAATTCCTGGTAGGTGCCTGGCAGGGTGTCCTGGGGCCAGTCACGAGTGAAGAATAGACATCTGTGGAAGGGAAAGAAAAGGCATCTACACCATCCTAGTTCATTTTGTACGGGGCAACATCAGTTGCCTAAGCCTCTACCTTTCCTGCTGGCTGGCACCATAAGGGTAAAGATCAGTTGCTATCTATCTGTGCCTTCAGCTCCAACACAGAACTAGGCACGGGGATGTCTGGGCCCCACTCAGGCTGCCCTGGGTCTTCAGGGCAGGGAAAATGAGGAGAGTACCCCCTTTAAGACTCTGGATTAGCTGGGCCACTGGCTCATAAAATCCTAGGCTCCCTCTTCCTTCCTCTTCTACTTGATTACTTATCTCTGGAATGAAGTGGTTTCAGGTTGCCAAGCGTTGGGGGGAAAATATCCTGCACAGGAAAGACGCATTCCCTCCATAAACTCATATTGTGTTTTTGATTGTTTCCCATAAAAAAAGAGATGTATCTTCCAGTTTATGTTTACAAGTGTGTGGCTGAAAAAAAAAATCAATTCTTTGACTATATACTTTTTCAGCCAAAGGCCTCCCCCCACCTTTACCCCCATAGTCTTTCTACCGGGCCAAAAGGCTGATATCCCGAACATGGGCCTGAGGCTTCCATGCCTTCTTGCAGGCAGAGGCAGGAGGGGTCCATGGAAGGGACTTCTCTGCCCTACTTGGTTTCCAAGTGGGCTGCAGAAGGCAGGGTTAGCTGAGAGAATGTGGCCTGCCCTCCAGGCTGTTGGCAGCAGTGAGGGGAGACAGGGAGGCAGCCCCAGCCTGCACAGCAACCATCACCAAGGTACCCTCTGATGGCAGAGGCAGAGGCCTCCCCGACCCACCTCAAGTGCTGCCACCTCCTACAGGAAGCCCTCCTGATTGCCTAGGATGAACAAACTCCTCGATCTATGCTCCTCCTTGCTGGAAGGCAGCCCAGATCAACTCATCTCTGCTGCAATCCTTTTCAGAGATGGTTTTTCCTGGCAGTGCAGAGCAGAGCTCCCCACTCAGAACATTCTGGTTCAAATCCCAGCTTCTCCCTTCCTGGATCATCTTGGGGAAATGCTGAACCTTTCTGAGTATCAGTTTCCCCACTTGTCAAACGGAGGGTATTTGAATACAAAATTAGGCTATCCTTTAAAAAAACATGCTCACCCCTTTCTGCTTCCTTCTCCTTGGCTATTGACTCTGTAATGTCCTACACATCCCCCAGTTTAAGGTACTTCAGAGGGCAGGGTGCCTGTTCTGTCATGCTTGGCACGCAGAGGAGGCTCTGTGGAGCCGCGTGGCCCCAAGTCAGTGCCTGGCCAAGGCTGCGTCTGCTCCCAGTGGCTCTAGACCCTCTCACCTGGCATTTTGGGCAAGAGAAGCACCATCTGCCCAAGGTTGTCCATGAGTCTGTTGCCAGCACCAGGCTGAGAATCCTTTGGGGTCAGGGATTGTGACTGGGTCCCACGGTCCCAAGGTCCCCAGAGCCTAGCAAGGGGCCTGCTTATAACAGGCCCAAGAACTACTGAGGAGGGTGTTGTCCAAAACCTGTGCCAGCTTTGAGATGCCTGGTCCTCATCCAGATCAGCCGAGCAAAGCAGTACCAAGCCGCCAATGCACCTGTCCCCAGCTCAGCCCATGGCTCACAGCTCATGCCGCTGTCAGTTATCCAGTTCAAATTTGCCAACTAGCACTCAAATCGGGGTGGGTTGCTGGCTATGGTGACAGTAGATAAGGCTTGATTCTGGATAACGACCTTGGGCCAATCCAGATCTCCACGAGTCTCACTTTTGCCATCTGTGGAATGAGCATGGGTGGGGATCTGGGGCAAGGAGGGAGTCTAGGTTGGGATACGTTCTTGGGACAGCCCTCAACTTGCCCCAGGTCCCAGCAGCCACCCCTCTCACGCCTTTGCCTTTCCTTAAACCCTTTTCCGCCTCTTATTTTCCTGATCTCATGTCAGTGTATGGGAAAATCACCAGGAGTTATCACACTCATTTATAGACCAAGAGACAAGGGACTGCTGGGGCCAGTCCAAGTGCCTCTCTTCCAGCCGGTCAGCCCCACATCAACACTGAGGGTCTCATGGGGCAGCAGTGGGGCTCTGGAAACCATGCCTGCTGTTCCCTCCCATCCTACCCACTGGGGGCCTTGGTCTCTTCTCCCTCTGCTTTTTAATTGCTTAGAGACAGGGCTGACGGCAGTGGGAACAGCTCAGCCGCTCTGCCACGGCTGCCGGTCTCATGACTAGAGGCTTTTGTTTGTTCACAGAATCATATTTTTACACTCCAGCTTCCGCTAATTTATGCTGCAGACCGCGCCCTCCCTGGCTGAAGATTGTGTTTGGAAGAGCAGGGAATTCTTCCTGGCTCTGGCATTTTGGAGCCTATCAGAAGCCACACAGGGGATACATAAGCCACGTGTGATAATGGCCAGGGCGGTATCTATTTTCCTCCTCTGCTGAGCCCACTGAGCTCCCTCCGTGCATTCGAGGAAGGAACCCTCGCTGGGAAAATTAAATGGGTCTTCATTTAAGACCCAGCAATCAGCCTCAGCAAGTCTGTTTGGCACCTGTGGGGACTCCTCTTTGCCCTGCGACAAGTGGAGAGGTAGAGGGGAAGCCTCAGAGCACCCCCACAACACTCGCAGGCATTCACGCTTCATCTGTGTGTGACATGATCAAGCTCAGGCGCAGGGCTGTGACTTCCTGTAGGAGACAGGGCTCAGCTGGGAGCAATCAAGGAGGGCTTCCTGGAGGCAAAGGACCTGAAGACCTGGGAAAATTGAGTAGACCAAAGACAGAGAGGGAGCCAGCTGCACTGTGAAGAATGGCAGAGGAGAGAAGGCTGGGGAGCAGGCTGGGTCTCCACTTTGGGAGTCTGAGTTATAGCAAAATTGCCCCTTTCACCTTGCTTGTGCAAGAGAGACTGGGGACAAGAATTCTTTTACCTCCACAAGAGAAGAGAATTGGTTTTTAATCAGGAAGGGCCTGAGTACGGCTGGTGAAGATCAAACTCAAGGACATAGGTTGCAAGAGGAGAGGCAGAGAGGGTGGGCAAAAAGGGGAGAGGGAGCCAGTGCTGTGTCTGGGAGCTGACATGTAGTGGCTGCCTTGCCACCTGCCTGTCACTCCAAAGGGCACAGACCTGCTAGTTGCATCCACCCATCTACCAGTCCTTCTGCCTACCAGCTTCCCTCCATCACTCCGTATTTCATCCTCCCATCTATCCCCAGCCAGAGAGTCAGCCAGCTTTAACACAGTGTCAAGAGCACTATGGTAGCCTTTCCTGTGGTGGCCTCCACCTAGGGAAAGCACTGAGGGCCGGGCCACCAGCATCCAATCTGGTGAGCTGGGTACTATGTGAAGATTCACCTCTCAGTGACAGACTTACATTTATCAAGCTCACAGGGACTGATATTTATACACACCCCGATGCCAATTTATTAATTTATAATAAGAAATGCTACTTGAGGGAAGCGGATGTTAGTCTTGGCAGAACGGCATCACTCCCAGTAGGCAGACTGCTCAGAAAGTCAAATTATCATCCAAATGCTGGGTTAGTAATTTACAGCAGGAACTGAAACTTTCAGGGGGTCTAGATACTCATGTACTCCTGGGCCTGCCTAAGAGCAAGTGACAAGAGAAGATGATCCGAAGGCCCTTGGGGAAGCTGAGTCAGATGGCTGAACAGGGCAGGGTAGTTGGGTGTATGATTTGCCATCTTACGGCTGATACTTCTATCCATCCCACCTTGGGCTAAGTGTGGATTTTATATCTTTACATAATTGGGGCAAAAGTCAAAAGACGACTACTATTTTGTGACATGGGATAATTACGTGAAATTCAAATTTCAGTGCCACAAAATAGTTTTAATGGAACTCAGTCACGGTCACTCATAACGTGTTGTCTCTGGCTGCTGCTGGGCTGCATCTTCAGGACGGTGTTTCAACAGACTTTGCTGGGGAAGCCTGAACTATGTAGCTCCTGGCCCCTCACAGAGGTTGGCTGACCTCTGTTCCAAGCCAATTGCTTACCCTTCTGTGGCCTTCATCCCTTTACTGAATTGCCACTACCCTCCAGCTCTGTTGACCCAAGACCGTCCACAGTTCACCTGGGCTGTGGAAGCTCCCTAAGTTCCCTAGTAATGAATGTTAGGTGGCCTCTTAGTCTATATGCATGCACTTGTGCACCATAACCACTGTTTGAGGATTTCGTCAGCCCAACCTGCACACACTACGCAGCAATCTCAGGTTAGCAGTGGACCTTGCTAAACACTGATTTCTGTCATTTACCAAGCGAGCCATCAAGGTACTCACCTATCTACCTCCCATTGCCCCAGCCATCCACTAAGTCTCTGGTCTAATCCACTGGGGTGGGGGTGTGTGTGTGTGTGTGTGTGTGGCTGTGTTCAGTTGTTCCAAGCCAATTGCTTACCCTTCTGTGGCCTTCATCCCTTTACTGAATTGCCACTACCCTCCAGCTCTGTTGACCCAAGACCGTCCACAGTTCACCTGGGCTGTGGAAGCTCCCTAAGTTCCCTAGTAATGAATGTTAGGTGGCCTCTTAGTCTATATGCATGCACTTGTGCACCATAACCACTGTTTGAGGATTTCGTCAGCCCAACCTGCACACACTACGCAGCAATCTCAGGTTAGCAGTGGACCTTGCTAAACACTGATTTCTGTCATTTACCAAGCGAGCCATCAAGGTACTCACCTATCTACCTCCCATTGCCCCAGCCATCCACTAAGTCTCTGGTCTAATCCACTGGGGTGGGGGTGTGTGTGTGTGTGTGTGTGTGGCTGTGTGTTCAGTGGAGCAGGCAGTGACTTCACAAACTCCACAAACTCTACGAACTCCAGCTACAGTGAACTTTGGTCTGAAGTGTGAAATTGGAGAGAAGGTCATGGAGCTGTGGATAGGGGTTTGGGGACCCTGGCGGTTGTCTCTAGTGAGATTTTTCTCTACTGGAGAACAGACAGCAAAATTGTGACCCTGCGGCCTTTCTGGGTTTCAAAACATTTTCTGGAGGCAGCTGTGTGGGAGAGAGAGAAAAGAAAATGGGGAGGGAGGGGAAGAGGAAAGGGAGCAAGGAGACAGAACAAGGAGCCAGAGGAGCCAGGGAGGGAGGCAGAGGAGAGAAGAGAGACTCACGCCCCGTGGGAAGTACTGGAATGGTAGTGGCTCTGGGCCCATTGATTCATTCTTCAGGCTCCCCAGCCTGGGTGGCGTGGGCAGGCTTGTCTGGAAGTGCCCAGGGGCAGTGTAGGCACAGCTGGGCAATCAGGCAGCCAGCGCCCTGGGGTGCCACCACCCACTCAGCTGGGGACTCAGGTTTCTGGCCCTCCTGGAGGACTGAGGAGACTGCGCAGGACTCAGCCTGAGCTCCAGGGGCACCCAGGGTGACAGCTTTCAAAGATAAAGAAGGAAGCACTTTTATCTGTGGCCCGAGCACCAGCTTCCATGGCCTCAGCTGGTTCCTGTTGTGGGGCAACAGACCTGGACTGGGTGGTGTTTAGGAGGTCCTGAGCTGCAGCATCTAAGGCCCCAACTATACCTGTTCAAAATAAGCCCCATTTGTCTCCTGCCTGCCTCACTTAGATAGGCTTCCTGAGGCCGTGGGCAAAAGGCTGAAATCAAACAAAGCAAAGGGAAAACAACCTTTACAACAAGACGTCAGCTGCAAGGCATGATGGTTGCTGTTCTTGCTACTGGCATAGACCTTGAATCCTTGGAACACCTCTTATTTTAAGGATGGATCAGCAAGGCCAAAGCCAACAGACAATTTGGGTCTCAGGCCCATTGAGAACCTCCATTTCTCTAGTGGGGCAGATGCTATAACATAATCTTGGGCCTGGTGTCAGAAAGACTCAGGTTCAAAGCCAATTTCCCCTCCAGCCCATTGTGAACTTTGTTCTCTTTTGTAATCTGGGACTGCCAAAAAGAGAACAGGTCCTATAGTTTGTTTCCAAGAATGAGAGCAATTCAATTGGTAGAGGGCCTGGTACGTAGTAGTAAGTGGCCAACGTGTGTTGCTTTTAAAAAGTCCTACTGTATGTAAACTATGGGTGAGAGGATCAGCAAACACTTTCTGCCAGAAAAACTCTGCTTAGCAGGGGAGGAATATGACAACCATGGAAAATACGGGGAACTACGGGAGTGAACAGAGCAAAGAGGTCAGAGATGTCTCTTAGAAGTAGCAAGTGCACTAACACCACCTGACCACAGAGTGGGATGTCAGAGGGAGAGATCATTCTAGAATATTCTAGAACATTCCAGAACATTCTAGACAGAGGGCACAATATAGACCAAGGCAGACAGGCTAAGGATCCTCCCAGGTGGGCAGGCACAAGAGGGTTCTCCCTGCTCCCTGCCAAGGAAGGGTCCCCTGGTAGGCCTGCCACAGCCCCATTCTTCATCACCTTCACTCTCATGTGAACCCTAAGAAAGTAGACTGGCCTAATGTTTGCTGAAGTCAAACATCATTTTTCTTCAACAAATTTCTTGATGGAAAAACTAATTCTGTAACGAGGCCACAAGTTAAATAGACTTGGTGTTTCGAATTATTTGACCTTATTCTTGGGTAGGAGAGATAGAAAGGGGGTAGGGAGATTAGGGGATTAGCTCAGGAATGTGTATGAGTTGCCCCCTTTCTTATTCCCCTCTACATGGAGCATTCCTGACCTTCACTCCCAGGCCTGCTTCCCCTTGGGAAGTCACAATGATGCTCTGCCCATCCCTGGCCATTCGGTGAGCCCAGAAGAACCGTGGGTTCTTTCTCAGGTCCTGGGCATTCCAGGTACCCTCGTGGTCAGGGCTCCAGGAGACCCCCAGGAGACAATGGGGCCTGGTGTGTCTGGTGCAGAGGGACCCATGGAAGAAATAACATTGCTGGGAGGCACTATGGAGATGCAATCGGGTCTGACAAGTCCTTGACTAATCTGTGTTTCTCTTCCTTCAGCCCCTGTCACTCTGCCCTCTGCCTGTCCATCCACCCACAGCCCTGCACACAGAGAAAGATGCCATACTAGACGCAAGATTCAGGTGGACTGTAGTCTCCAGAATTCAATGTGGGCACCCTGCCTATGTCTCTCTGCCTGCCTCCCCCGCACCTAGCCCCAGAGACCTCTGCTGGGTTGAGAAAGGAGTGGTGTCACCTTCCGGCAGATGCTGACTTTCACCCCTAGCCTGTTACCTCACAGAGCAGGCTGAAGTTGGTTGTTGTGATGTGCAGTTTATTTTTGTGGGTGAAGGTGTGATGTCACAGGTACAGGCACTTCCTGGCTCCCAGGGGTAGCAGCTGGGAGAAGGGCCATACTCGGTAACTCCAAATGTCCCCATCAGTGCTGGTCTCTAGGGTTTGAGTGTCCTCTGTCCCTTGGTTTCTCTGACCTGCAGGGAAAGGACTCCAGATGTCCTGAGGTTCTGGTGTCCCTAGACATGAGCTAGAGTCCTACCAACACAGAGGTAGTTCTTGGCCCCTGGCTGAATGTGAAGAGTCTTTCCCATAGGATAAGGTGCAATCAGTACCCAACCCCGGATGCATCAGGGGTCCTGAGATGCAGGTTGATCATGGTGGTGCAGTGGTCAGGGAAACCTTAGGAGGATTTGGACAAGAGGGGGCACATCCTGATTGGGGCATGGTGCAAACCAAGACTGAGAGACCAGGGGAGCAGCTCCCTGAGGCTTACTCTGAGCCAGGCATCATTCCAAGTGCAATTGACTGACTGAATTTATCTAACCTTCACAACAGTGGAGGCTCAGAGACATTAAGAAGCGTAACCCAGGGCACACAGCTAGTAAGTGGCAAGCCTGGGGTTTGAACCCAGAATAATTTAGCTCTAGAGACCATACTTGAAACTGCTCTGCTCAGCATGAGGTTATCTGGCTGGTGAAAGGGTTTGGGTAGGGCATGCTGGGGTGGTAGGAGTATGGGGAAGGGGTTATAAAGGAACTAAATGCCAGAGAGAGTATCTGAGAGTTGATCTGATAGGGCAAGTGAGGAAGTGACAGCCCCTACACGTCACCTGTACCTCTTCCCTACCTATACCACAGCAGCTTCAGCTCCTGCCAGCTCAGAGGAGGAAGAGGAAGCGGTTGCAGATGATCTAAGACACCACTGTTCGGTCTGCTCAGCCTTCTTCAAAGTTCCATTCCGAGGGACCTGACACTCACAGGACAATCTCCACCACAGCCACCATTCTGGGGACAGACATGTGATCTAGGCCAGGCCAGTCATCACCCATTGTGGGATTTGAACATCTGAGGCACAGGAAAGAGACCCGCTCTGTGCAGGTAGCTCTGGGCAGAGGAGCCCTGCAGTAGCTGGTGGGCACCTGCTGGCCTGAGAGAAGGCAGAGCAGAAGAGGAGGCAGATGACTGTGGGAAGCCAAGAAGAAAGGCCAAGAGTCCCCCGAGGCCTGCTGCTCCTCTGGCCTTTCTGCTCAGGCTTGGTTTTGTGATCTGGTAACATCCCCTTGTGTCTAACTGGCCCTAATTAGGACTCCAACATTTGCCACCATGGCCCTGGAAAGCTTCTGCAGAATCTCTGATGGATGTATGTGCCATCCTGGGCCTGGCACAGAAAGTTATTTCCTGATCACCTGGCTCTGGTCACCATCCCAGAAGCAGGGCCTGTCTCTAGGCTATTTAGTGAGTTTCTGGGAAAATGCAAAAGCACAAGAAAACTTCAACTCAGAGTCATTGCAACTGTTCTCTCCACGATGCCAGCTGAGCTGCCCTGGGGTCCCTGCAGCACAGGTGTCAGTGCTGATGTTGGCAGCTGCCTACTCCAAGGCAAGGGCCCAGCTGTCCAGTTTTGTCCTTCCATTCTGTGACCTTGCCCTCTGCTCTGCTCCAGGTGCCTGGCCACGCTCCTCATCTGTACATGCCCCCCGTTCTCAGTCAATGGTCTTTCCAGGATAGACGCTCAGCCAAACCCGGGGCTGCTCCACTTGCCAGGCAATTGCTGTACCCGACCTGTTCTTCCTTCTCCAAACCCAACACTGTTCTCTCGCTTTAAAAATTGTTAAAAAGAAAGTCCCAAGCCCTGGAGCCTGGGGTTTGGTGATTGTTTGCAGAGCCATGAGCCAGCTTCCTGTGCTGTCTAGCAGGGCAATGCTAAGGGAGAGGAAGTGAGGGCCAGGGTGGGAGGGAGGGAGGCCATGATCTGCCCAGCAGCAAACACTCAGAGGGGGAGCTGCACGATTCCCTGCCATGTCGCATTTCATGCTAGGGATCCAGGCTCCTTCCAGAGCTGGATGCCAGAGGAACAAATTGTGGCAACACGCTCCATTTGGCTTTTGGACTTGACACGTATCCTGAAGGGCAATGGACACATTATGAATAGCTATCCCTGGCCACCTAGGCCTGGATCCAGTCTCCCGCATGCATGGCTCTGTACATGTTCACACAGGTGCACATGGTCATGCATAGGAGTCCTCGACCTTGTGTGTGCTTCTGAGTATGCACATGCACAGTGTGTGTTCCTGCCAGGTTTATCTACATCTGCCCTTGTCCTCTGCAAAGCTGAGAAGGTTGAAGGCCCTGAGGCTGCCTATTCCTGGCCTTTGTCCCCCTCTTGGCCAGCCCCTTTGTCCTTGCCTCCTACACCGGTAAACCACCCACCAGATACCCACCAAGGGGCACTCACTACGGTTTCCACTTTGTGGCTTATGAAGAATACCACTTGTAAATGCAATCTTTTCCCTTCAGGTCTTATAAACCAGATGTGATAATTCTCAGTCTCTGGAAGCTACTGCACAGTAAGAAAAATGCCAAAACACTCACACCTTATCTATGGATAAAATCCCCAGCCCTAAGGTGTGCCGCTCCAGGCTTTCCCTAGCCTGGCACCATCCTGCCTTCCCATCTCATCAGATGTTCTGAATATTCTTCTCAGGCTGGAGATGAAGGGGCAGGAGAAGTCAGCCTGAGACCTGGAGAACTGAGTGCTGGAGGGTTCTTGGATTCTAGTCTGTTCTCTGCCAATACTACTTTGTGACTTTCAGACAGTCCCTGCCATTCTCCGGAAGTGAAGTTTTCTTCTAAATTAGATGCGTTCACCAACATCCAGTTCTCAGCCTGGGGACAGTCACAGCCTCCCAAGGTAGCTTTTGAGGTTTGCAAAGAGCTCATTTAGTTTATTGTGGTTCTGTTTGTTTTAAATGCATTGTATCAGTTTTTGTGTGGTTGCCACAGGAAACAAGCTAGCATAACCTGGGTGGCCTAAAACAACAGAAATTTATTCTCAGGAATAAATAAGCTTATTCTGGAAGTCTGATGTCATCAGCAGACCTGAGCTGAAATGAAGAATCTTAACACAGCTACACTCCTCCAGAAGCTGGAAGAGAGAAGCATTCCGGCTTCTTGCAGTTCTGGTGGAACACTGATTCTCCTTGGCTTGTGGTCACATCACGCTGATGTCTGTCTCCAGGTCATGCTCTGTCATCTCTGTCTGCCTCCCCTTAGAAGGATACATGTGCTAGTGTTAGGGCCCACTTAGTGGATTCAAAATAACTGCCTCACCTCAAGATTCTTAATTCGATCCTTTCGCTAAATATGGTAACATTTACAGGTTCTGGGGATTAGGATCTGATATCTTTGGGATCCATTATTCAGCCTGTTACAGCCATAACACTGAAATAATTTAGAAACATCACTAAAGACAAGAATGAGGCTTTTATATTTATCAAAGGAGAGCAGGAGTTTGAAAAGGTTGAGAAACAGTGGGTGAAATGACCTGTAAGCATTCTTCCAGTCCAACCCCTGTGCAGTTTTACTGCCATATGCTGAGGGAAAGAAATAAAAAAGCAGCAATGATCTACACTTACTAAGCACTTGTCGTGTTTGGGGCTTTGTGTTAAACACTGGGATCCAACAGGTGACTGAATACTCATGGTCCTTGCTTTCCACTGAACCATATGAAATGCCCCATTCTGTAGGTCAAAAATAGTAAAATATTGGAAGTTTCACATTCCACCGTAATACTTAAGAATTGCAAATATGGGTGGGGAGATAGAGGCAATGGCCATGCAGCAGGGTGAACATGGATGGGAATAACTGTAGGGAGTGATGAAAACTAGAAGACAAGCAAGGGGATCACAGGAAGAAGTGGTGTCCATGAGAGTTGAAGGATTTGCTAGAGTAGCCGGGCAAGGATGGGATGGGAGATTTGTAGAAGACCACTGGAGGCAGAAGAAACAGTGTACACAGAGGGGAAACAGGTTCAGAGAGGGTAGAGAAGCTGACAAAGCAGGAACCTGGATGAAATTCAAGGTGGCCCATGCACTGAGCTCAAGAAGGAAACTGGGGGAGCCGAGGCTTGCGAAGAAAGCAGGGCAGGTTAAAAGGGTGCCCAGGCCATGCTGAAAATGTTGGCTTGGACTGTATCCTGAAGGTATGGGAGAGCCACTGAATGATTAACAGCAGTAGGAATGCAGTCATTCAATTTGTGCCATAGAAAGACCATTCTAGCTTCCAGAGTAGGGGCAAGGGATGAAAAAGGAAGACATCAGAGGGGAGGGCAGTTGGAGTGGATGGAAAGTCTGGGGTCAGAGGGATAAACTAACCCTGCCTGCTAGCCATGCTTTTTCTCCTCAAAGCTCCTGGAGTGGGTCTGCAATGTCTCCCTATGCACTTTAATCTGCTGACAGAGGAGACTATGAGCATGGAGAGGCAGGCTGGAGCTGTGGCCAGAAGGCTGTGTGTCTACCATAACAGCATGGCCCTGGGGTCAATAGGACTCAGCCACTAGGCTAAACACCAAGGGGAGCTGGAGGCGGCTCTGTTTCCTTCTGCCAGCCCTCAGGCTTAGCCTGTGACCTCAGGCCTTACCTACTGTCACCTGCACCTCCTTCTTGCCTGTGGGCTTCTTGTTCTTTCCCATCTGCTTATGCCACACTTTAGACTTGGTCAGGGCTCCTTATTCCTGCTCTGGTTCTCCCTGTTTCACTTTTGAGCACCCGTGGGCTCTGAAAGTCTTCTTACTGTTCAGGGAGAGCTGGGGCTTCGTGGAGCCAGAGGTCTGTGTCAAAAGCATGGCTTCATTTCCTCTGACAATGGGTACAGCTCTCTGCACCATCCCAAAGCCATGAAATGATAAAGCCCAGTCCCGGCTCTCTGCTCTCAAGCTAACTGGGCACCTACATCATGAGCCACAAAATTCGTTCTTCCATCCTTGGTCCAAGCCAGAAAAAATATTTCCTCCGAAATGCTCTGTCTCTGAGCCCATGGGTGAGGACTATGCATGGAGGGAGAGCTTCTTAGAATGAATGGAAGATGAGCTCAGGTCTGTGGAGTACATGGTTTGTCAATTTCATCTCTAGGCAAAGCCACAGAAAGGGGATGGAGGGAACTGTGGGCAGAGGGAAAGGCTGTGAACAACAGTGCTGATGAGAATCCTGGGCTCCCTGGCTGTCTCTTCAGGAGCAGTGGACCATCCCTGAAGATGCTCTAGGCTGTGGATCAACATGCTCAGATGGAGAGTTTGAGAATCTCACAAATCCAGAAGCACTAGAGAAGGCAGTTGTTGTTCACATAAATCCAGGTTCTAGGAGCAAACAATATTTGGGGAGGGGATGAGTGCTGGGTAAAAGTCACTGACAACATCGATGGCGGTAAGGTTGAAACCACTCCCGGATCTTTCTCTTCACCACTTAGAAAAAATGTGACTATTGTTTTTCCATTATTGTTTCATTTTCATTTGTGTGTGCAGTGCTGAGAATAGATCCCAGGGCCTCATGCCTGCTAGGCAAATACTGTACCACTGAGCTGCATCTTCCAGCCCTGGTGATTATTTTTAACAAGAAGAAAAGGATGAGAGTCATGGCAGGTCAGGGGCTGAGATGGACATTTGGACTCAGAGTTCTTAAGTGTACTTTCTGCTGCTCTCAGCACTTTTCTGTCCATTGTCTTGTTCAATCATCATAATGATTCCATGAGCAAGGCAGGGAAGTGATTATTATCAGTACTTGACAGGTAAGGATGAGGAAACACGGAGAACAAAGTGACTTTTTTCACGATCCCATCCAGTTACCCCTTTTCGTCACATCACCTAGACATACCCATGTGTAATGTGGCTTATTTTTAGTCCTTTTAGGAAGAAGGCTCATTCTCACTAGTTAACATGGCTCCAGGGGTCTGGCTATGGAGTCTGGTGTCCAGGGACTCAGAACAGTTCTACGGTATCCAGAACATTTCTTTCTCATCCACCTCTCGGAAGGAGATATGGGCCTTTTCTAAATCAACCTTGTGTTCCAGGAAGCCATACTGTTCTTGGTCCTGGCTGCTGTTTCTATAATCTACAGCTACTGTTCTTGATTCTCCCCTCTTCAGCTTTAAGGCTGAATTCTTAACTCAAGATCTAGAAGAATTGTGGGAACTATAATCCACCCTAACTTTCCCCTCACTACCCATAAGAAATTGCTCTGTGGCAGGCAGAGGAGGAGTGAGTTTAAAACTGATTTGTAACTTCTCATGCTCTCACAATACTGTTGGCTTAGCATGAGTCTACAACACTACAGTCCCATCTCTATTCTCTAGTTCTCAAACTATGGCCCACAGTCAAATCTGGCCCACCGCTTGTTTTTATAAATAAAGCTTTATTGGAACTCATTTGTTTCCTTATTGTCTGTAGATACATTTGCCCTACAGCTGCAGAGCTGAGCAACTGACATACAGACTGCATGGCCCACCAAGGCTAATTATTTACCAGTTGACCTCTTACAGAAAAAAGTTACCTGTATCTGCTACACTGCATTCTCTCTGGAGCAGAAGACTTGCTCTGAGCATGATCCTGTACAGTCGATAATTTCCTTTATCTCCGCTCCAGCTCATCTTAGCATAGTCTTTCCCTATTTTCCTCACCCATGTGGGTCTCAGGTCCATGTCTTCCTTAAATTCAAACCACTCAGCTCAAACATTCAGGGGTGTCCTCTGGCCTCTTCCCACCCATATTTCCCAAAACTGCCCACCTTGGGCACACAGCTTTCTGCTCAGCTTCCCTGAACCCATCCTCTAGTTTAGACAATGCCAGAAATTAACCCAGTATTCACTCCTAGGATTTAGGCTTCTTTATAGCCTTTCTCAGTGTGATAGAACTTTTTCAGTGGCAAATAATAGAAACCCAGCCCAAATTAGCATAATATAAAACAATAGTTCTGCTGAAAATTCCAGAAGTAGATCTCCTTGCTCCTAGCACATAGTGGATGCCATCAGAATCCAGCTGCATGTTAACTCTTAACTCCGTCTCCAGGCAAGCCTTTCCCACACTGTAGGCAAAGGGCTATAGAAAGCTTAGGCATCCTCAACAGGAAGAGACATCCCTTTAGTTCCAGCAAGACTCCAGGACTGAATCTCAGTGGCGCAAGGAGAGGGGTCACCTGACCGTCTCTGAGCCAATCACAGTAGGGACAGGGGGTTAGGCTGTTGTGATTGTCCAGATGGAGACTACATCGTGGAGTGGATTTTGGGGGAAGGTAATCCCACTAGGAGGCTAGGGTGGCAGAGGGGTGTCCTCCAGAGGAAGGTGTTCCTAAGGGATGGAGGGAGAGTGGGTGCCGGCCAGGCAAGGATGACAGATAAACATCCCATAGCTGCTGGGTTTGCTTTACTTTTCCCTCATAGACTGCTGTCTACTCCTTCTCTACTGTCTTCTCAGGCATCTATAATGGTGGTCAAGCTCTCCCAGTTTACAGAGCAAACCATGTGTGGCTTCTGAGACTATAACATCCCCTCCAGCCTCACCTCTCACCCTCTCCTTTATCTGCAGAACTTGGGCAATATTGAGCTCTCCCAAATATCCCAGGTCTTCACTGTGTCTTAGCACTGGCCTTCTTACCTTTGCAGGTTGCCTTCCCTCACCCCCAGGGCCCAAGAAGTATCCCTCCTTTGTGCTATCACAGCCCCTGCACCAATATCTGGCTGTCCCTCCAACCCTGCCCTTGGGCCAGTTTCTCTCTCTCTCTCTCTCCAGCTTTATAGCAATATTGGCCCTCTAAAATTCCATGCAAAAAGGAAAGGAGCCAATTTGAGGCATTACTAATTAATTCCATAGACACTGGGTAGATGCTGGATGTGCCAAACACTATGATAAGCAACAGAATCAACCACAGGAATGATTCAGGCACGTTCTCAACCTTAAGACACTCACTGTGTGATAGAGAAACGAAGCTATCTAAGCTGTTCATCCTTTCCTTGCTCTCCCTCCAATACCTAACCTGGGTCTGACACATAGTCAAGCTTAATAAACAGGTACTGAGCAAATAAATGAAGGATTGGGGAAAGGAAGGAGCTAATGCCATGGAGGACTCAGATAAGGTGCCATCAAGATATGGGGGAAGAAAAGGTTGCTGGGGAGGAATCATTTCATCATCTTTCATGTACCCGTGCTGGAGATTCAGAGGAGGGGCATTTATCCCCTCTTCTAGGAGATCCCACAGCCCAAGGGATGAGGCCAGATGAGAAAAGCAATGCCTACAAGACAATGTTGGAATTGCCAAGCAGGGATATACTGAGAGCTATGATAAGAGACTGGGGTGGAGGGATGTGAGGAAACAAAGCCAGTGAATTAATTGATCAATCTGAGTCCTTCCATGAGACTTATTTTTCCTCAGTCCTTTCCCAGGGTTTCCGTGGGAGCCTTGAGAAAATAGAAAATTAATTGCTCAAGGAGATTATAATCAATACGAGAGAAGACCACTCATGGAGACATTAAATATAAAGTCAAATATTTGGTCAAATGGTAAATTCAAGTCATTATGTTTGAGGTGAGCATTGGGGTTTGTGGAGGGGCCAGAAATCAGGGAGGACTTCC